CTGGAGGACCCTTAGTGCTCACATCATAATCAGAATCATCTTGTTTCTTTTTATATCGTGACAACCCACATCTTGGACATTGATGCAACCCTTCAAACTCACCATGATATAACATACAATCATTTGGACACGCATGTATCTTCTTATACTCCAAACCCATAGGAAACAACACCTTTTTTGCCTCGTAGTTACGATTAGGCAATGTGTTACCCTCTGGAAGCATTTCTTTCAGTAGCTCTAACAATTCTGTGAAGCTTTTATCACTCCATCCATTTCTTGCCTTCAAATTGAACAATCTTAATATCGCTGAAAGTCTTGTGAATTTTGTACAGTTTGGATACAACGGCTTCTCCAAATCGTTGCACATAGTTTCATACATATGTGCACACTTGAATGATTCTGGACCAACATCACGAAGCATCTCCTCTAACCGATCATCCATATCTATCTCTTGTGTAAATGTTTGAGTTTGAGTTTCGACTGATTCACTTTGAATGTCAACATTTTCACCATGCCATATCCAACGTGTATAATTGTTAAGAAATCCATCACACAAAAGATGTTCTCTTATAACATCAAGTTCTAGGCGAGTCGCATTACAACAATTAACACAAGGACAAAAAAACCTTCCATTCATATCATCATTAGCATTTCGTATTACATATTCAATAAAATATTCTACTCCAGTCTCATACTCATCACTTATACGTGATGCATGTATCCAACTTCGATTCAATAACCAACTTTTATCCATAACTTCTGTTCTTCATAAAAAAAAAAATAGACCATGAACGTTAATCTCACTATTTTAATCATTTGTATTAAATTTCAAAAGGGAAACTAAGGTTCACTCAATATGTGCATAAATATAACATCATACTAATTTATAAAAATCAAATAAACCACCTAATTTTTCTAAACACTAAATTACTAGGTAGACATTAATTATATCACAAATTATTAATAAAATACAAATATATAACACATACATACAAGGGGTCCAATTTAGAAAAATGCCTAAAACTGCTTCAGTGTCTGGAACGGCCCCAGAACGGGCTGTTCTGCAAGCAGAACGGCCTGTACTGCATGCAGAACGACCCGTGCTGCAATCAGTATAGGCCATTCTTCTTGTAGTACGGGCCGTTCTGCTTGCAGTACAGGCCGTTCTGGGGCCGTTCCAGGGCCGTTCCAGACTCAAAGTTCGCCCAGAAACAACGAAATAAGACGCATGAAACGAAAATGTTACCTCAATGTTGTATTCGTCCCAGAAAATGAGAAGATGCACACTTCAAATGAGAGTCTCAGAGAGTAAAGAGGAAGAATATATGATATTGAAGCAAAATAGTAGAGAATGGAGCAATAGGAGCAGAGATAGTGTAATTAATTTTCTGATACTACTTTTAAAATCGGCTGTTTAATAACCGATTTTAAAAGTGATACTTTTAAAATTGGCTACTCAATAGCTGATTTTAAAAGTAGACTTTTAAAATCGGCTACTTTTAAAATCGGCTCTTGAACAGTCAATTTTAAAAGTAGACTTTTAAAATCGGCTGTTCAAGAGCCGATTTTAAAAGTAGCGTCAGAGACTTTTAAAATCGGTCATAACGTAGTCGATTTTAAAAGTAATGCCATTATTTACAAAATTGCCACCGCATCACTTTTAAAATCGGCTACCTGATGACCGATTTTAAAACCCCGATTTTAAAAGCCATTTTTGTACTAGTGACACCTCGATAGGTTTCTATCATTCCCTCTCTTTTTGACATGATTCATTCTTTAATCAAGTTTTGCACATATTGTTTATATATGGACTTACCACATCATTGAATTGTTTTTCCAATTAAATCTTTATGTGTTGTTCTTCCTTTAACATCAAGATAAAATAAGTTACAAAATTAGGTTGAAAAGAAGAATTAAGTACGTCAACAATCCAATGTTAAACAAAGGATTAGAGTAGTAGAAAATGACTCATCATTGGCTTTAGAAGTCAACCATTCTCTAGTTATCTTCATTTCTTTTTCATCTTGAATATTTTTTAACTTTGGTAAGCTATGCAAGTGTCCAAACTTGGATCAAAATATGGAAAATCCACCAAGTTCCTTAAGCTTTGAGACATATTTGCATCTTTGAAAGCTCATATACATTTGCATTTTTTTTTCTTTGGAAGCACATCTTTAAGTTCCCTTATAAGAGACCTAGCACAAATAAACAATGCGCGAGAATAAAAAGAATAATATTTTTTTTGTTGTTCGACTTTTTTCCTCAATTCTTTCTTTTTTAATTTTTTTACTTTAAACATTTTTTCTCTCCTTCAATTATCTTTCTCTCATCTCTTTTACTTATCTTTTTTAATCTTTTTTAGGCCTTATAATTTAAAATAGGTTTTTTAATCTCAATACTTGTAGTGTTTTTCATCTTTTAAACCCTATAATTAATTTTTTGTAACATTGTCTCTTTAGTTTCTTTCTTTGTAAACTCATATTTTTATTACATTTAAAAAATAATTGTAACAAAATGAATGATTGATATTTAAGATAAATAATTTAACTATGGTTAAAATACTTTTATAGTTTCTATAATTTTACTTACTTTATTTTTTAGTTCTTATAATTTCAAATAGATCTGTTTGGTTCATGTACTTGTTTTTTTCAATATTTTTTGGTTCTTATAGTTTAAAATAAGTCTTCTTAGTCTCAATACTTGTAGTTTTTTTATTTTTATTTTTATCTTTTTGAACCTTATCATTAATTTTTTGTAATATTGTCTCTTTCATGATGATGCGATGAATGTATTAATTAATTCAACTTTATGTGTATTATGTTAAATTTATTTTGTTGGCATTATTTTAAATTAGGTCTCAATATTTCGTAACTTTTTTGTACTCTCATTTACGATGTTAATTGTTGAGATACCATTTGCTTTACCCTCACAAAATTAAAAATCTTTATCATATCAACACAAAACAAAAAATGTTACAAAAAATTATGAGGTGACTAAAATGATCACAAAACTGCAAGTATAGGAACTAAAAAGATATATCTTAAACTATAAGGAGTAAAAAGGATTGGAAAAAATAAGTATAAGGACTAAAAATGTCTATTAAACTATAAGGAGTAAAAAGGATTGGAAAAGTTAATTATAAAGGACTAAAAATGTCTATTTTAAATTATAGAAACTAAAAGGTAAAGTAAGTGAAACTATAGAGAGTAAAAAAAATATTTTAACCTTTACCTATAAATTGATAAGAAAAACTTGTTTTTAAAAAAGGATAAAATTTAAATATCAATTAGAATGGAATTTAAGTTTTTAGTATTTATTTGCAAAAGAAGTAAAGTTTAAGGATTATTTGGAACGAAGTTGAAGTTTATGACATCTATTTACAAATGTGATAAAGTTTAAGGATTAGGATAAAATTAAAGTTTAGGATAGGTGAATACTCCTTTTCATAATAATAAATTAATAAAATTTTAATTAAAATAATTGCAATAATTATATTCAAAATCCATTCATAAATAACTCAAAAATAATATTAAATGCAAATACACTTAATATTAAAAATAAATAAATATAACATTAGTGTGTTCAAATCCATGTAAATATATTTATTTAAGTAAAAGTATAATTACTTTTCACACATTATTTAATATAATAAGAACGAACTCAGATAGATATTTTAGTACTTGTACCTAGATCCATACTAAAAATAAATTTGTGGGTGTATATTCGTCTCATACATAGACCCAAAATTATGAATGAATTTCTTGATGAATAAAATTCAACAGATCATACATATACATAAAAACAATTTGTATATACTCCAACCATTATTTTCTCTAAAACAAAGTCAAAATACACACAATACTTCCAACTCTTAACACTCTAAATTGATGGGTGTGTATTTACTTCTTGAATATGTTTAGGTCGAAGACTCATATAATTTATAGAGTTTAATTTTTGGCCATCATAAAAGCGGATCCCTATTTTTTTAGGATCTATAGATAAATCATTTTCATTATCCAATAGTAACATCTTTTAATGATAAAAGAGTGGATGGTTAAACTTTGACCTAATAAAAAACATGAAGGAAAAAAAAAACAAAAAAGTGAGCGAGAAAAATTACGGTCACTATAACTTTAAATTTAAAATTTAAAAATAAGTCTAACATCTCCGACCTTGCGAATATTTTTGTAAATACCCTTAGGTTTCAGTTACACTTTGTCATCTTTGGTATTTTCCCCCTTTCATGAGTAAATGTTGTATGGCTCTTGGTTCTGAGTAGCCTATGCGCGGTGGGCCTTGAATTGAGTTACGACTGTTAGCCCAAAAGCAACTATACGTGATGTGATTTTTTGGAACATTTTTTTTTGTCTTTTTGTACATATACATGATGTGATTATTATATTAACTAATTTCAAAACAATATACAAAATTTATTAATATTAACTCGTGCACGGGCTTTCTCCACTAATTCTCTTCATCGCTATTCAAAAGGTCTACGGATAAGATTGGATTAATTTCTAGTGTAACGTACCATTTTGGATCCATCTTTTTCATCTTTACGACCAAAACCAACAATTGTTTTCTTCGTAATGCCATCGACCACAGACAAAAACAAATTTATCTTCTTGTTATTCATAATATACATTTATATATAAACTCTTTTACGATGGTACGAAATGAGAAAGACAAGAATGAAAGAAAAATAGTTTCCACCTCCGTATAACTTAATATCTATTTCTTATCTCAATCTCTTTATTTTGCTTTTCATTTCACGGTCTTCCCATCCTGAGTTCCGTCTTTTCTCTCTCCAATCGCATGACTTGGTGCAGTCCCCAAATCCTATTTCACATTCTCCACCCAACCAACCCAAAAGCATCGATATTCACACTTCAATCATGACAAGCATAAACACGTACCCATTTTCACTACCAATGTTGGAGCTTATCATTTAAGACTCCATCATGGCCACAAACCTCACCCACATTAATTAACATAATATCTCAACAAACCCAATTCAATTATTAATTAATTTACAACCAACATAGTAACATCAAAAAACGAATTTTAAAAAAAAATTGATTACAACCTCGTTCTCACGAGAAAGCAAGAACTTTTGATTACAGCGCCTTGACTAGAATATTATAATTTAATTCAAATAAAAGTAAAGAAAGAAAGCCAATCCAATCTAATCTAATCTAATCTAATCTAATAAAAGTAAAGTATAAGCATGCGACACCAGCACTCATGATGCGTTTGATAACAAAGGCTCTTCGTCAGGATGAGTTGCATGAAGCTCCTTTAGCCATTCAAACGTTCTACTACGACGTGACGTAACCTTCTTCCCCTCCTTGTGCTTCTTCTTCGACTCCACCACTTTTTCTTTCGCGGCGTGCGTTGTACTTTCTGTCTTGTTCACGCTTTTGGCAGCAGCACCACCTTTTATCATCATGACCGTGTTCGATTGCACCGTTTCAAGAGAACAATCACAACCACTCAATAGACCACCGCCTTTCCCAACCAACTGTTTCAAAACCTTGTTATGACTGCCCTTGTTCCTGTTAACACTCTTTTCGCGGCGTGCGTTGTACTTTCTGTCTTGTTCACGCTTTTGGCAGCAGCACCACCTTTTATCATCATGACCGTGTTCGATTGCACCGTTTCAAGAGAACAATCACAACCACTCAATAGACCACCGCCTTTCCCAACCAACTGTTTCAAAACCTTGTTATGACTGCCCTTGTTCCTGTTAACCCTCTTTCCACTGTTGTTGCTGCTACCGCTACTACTATTCCGACTCACGCAGCTTCTGTTATTACGAATCTTCAGGTCTTGTAACCCTATCTCGGGAGCAGGGACTACACCCAGACGGAAAATTCCCCATGCTGACGTTGATTTTCTACCTTGGTTACCCAAACTTGATGGGGTCGGTGCTCTTAACTGAGGTTTGGGACTTGGGTGTGTGTGAAACTGGTTTCTAGCTCTTGGGGATGTAGTAGTTGTAGTTGTGGAGCTAGTGCTACTTGATGAGTTTTGGCTTCTGAGACTACTACTTCTACTGCTACTATTACTCGTGAAATCCAAGGATTCGGAACTTGATTGCTTACCATAATGTTTTTTATGAGACCCTGTTGTGGGTGTGGCCAATAAGCCAGCTTCGGAGCTGAAGGAGAGACGCAAGGGGAGAATTTGGCCTTTGAAGAAAACCTCATCGGCCACACACATTTCAAAGGGAGCACCCCATGAGCGGAAATCGAAGTCCTCTTGTGTTGCTTCGTTGGCATGAGAGTGTTGTTGGTTTGGTGGTTGGTCGATTGGAAGATCGCAAAGAGACAAGGCTTCTTCCTCTTCTTGGTCTTCTTCTTCCTCTTCCTCTTGTTCGGCGTTATTTTCCCATTTTGCTTGGACGATGTTTGTGGCCATTAAGGAACCAACAGGTTTGGTAATTCGAAAGGTGTCGGGGAAGGTGGGGAGGGGTGAATTAATAAGGAGTAAAGGTAGGTACTTGAAGGGGGAAGGGTAGTGTGTGGGTGACAGAGTGACACGAATACGGACATTTAGAATATAAAGGAGGTAGCAACAGATGGTAGACTCGATCACTTTAAGGAATATCTCCATCTCGCATAGTGAGTGGACATCACTAAAGATAATTAACAAAGATTTTATTTTACTTTGCGTTATAACATGTTCATATAATATTGAATAATGAATTAGAAAGGAAGGTGGTGCCCAGCACTAAAGTAAGAAATAAAATGGGGGCAGTGTAGTGATCACTTGAGCGACCCGAGAAAATAGTGACTTGATTTACTTGTTTCGGAGTGAAGAAAGGAAGTGTGACTTTTTGGGCCTGCCATTATCCATTAGTAGAAAGAGGACCTCTCTATATATATCTACTATTTGGTGCTATTTTTCTGGAAATGAACATTTGGTGGGTTTGTCTTGCCAAATAGTGCTAGTGTGGGTGTGGGGACGAGGTATAATTTGAAATTGAATTATACGGGAAGATGAAACATGAAGTACGTACGGTAATGCATTCTCTCTTGAAAATGACGATAATGTTATTATCAGGAAAAAAAATTTAACGTACACCCACGGGATGTATAAGAGAATGAACAAATTTATAGGTTTTTAATTATGGGGACAAAAAGATAAAATTAATTTAATTATAAATATAAAAAATTAATTAAACAAAAAATAAAAAATAAAAGATCGAGAGAGAAATTGATTTACAAACAGTGTGATGTAAAATAAAAATGAGTGTATTTTGAATATATGAGTATTAGACATGTAACAAGAGATTTATAGCTTGTATATTTTGCTCAACCAACTAAGTTAGACCTTCTTCATAATTAAAAATATTATATGAATAAAATAATTTTATTCTTATAATAAGTTTTACAATAACTTTTTATGTGCTTTTCCCCCCCTTAATTTCTCTTTACTGTATTATTATCTATTTTATTGGTTTAACATTTTTACGAAAAATAAATTGATGAAGAAGTGTTTAAGACGGATAGTCAACATATTCATGGTACACTGCACTAATGAACCATTTAAGCAATGCCAACCAAAGTATAAGGCTAGGCAAACTCTTGCTTTAGGCCTCCAAAAGTTGTTTTATTTTTGTAAGGCTTCTATATCTTCTTATATATATAACTTCCACTCACTAAAAAATCAATTAGTCAATAATTTAATTAAATAAATTGTCTCTTAATATGTCAATTCTCACTAAAATTAAAATCAGCAAATCATTACTTTTAAATAAATCATCTCTTAATATATCATTTTTAACCAACACATTCTTGAATTAATTAATAAGGCATCAGCTTGAAATTTATTTTAGGTTTAAAAATATGTTGGATCGTTATTCCGGCATTTGAGATGGACATGGATAGAATGTCTAAGGTGAATGCTAACATGCCTGATGAGGTGGACAATTGGTATTATATTGGACTCATAATGTTAATTTTAATGCGTCTAGTAGGCTAAAATCTAATTCTCCTTAGACCGGTTGGTGTTCTCATGCAAATAAAACATCATGAGAAATGGATGACACCAATTACAAAAGGTATCGTAATGCTTAAGTCAATAATAATATATTAACAAAATGATAATTTTTATTGAATGTTTGCCTTATGTAATGATAATGGTAGTGTTTATAAGAGTCGAAGATGAGTTGCATCTGAATGTCTCTCACTGGCAAGGACAGCTCACTAGGTACCATGCAACAAACTATTGACTTCAATCAAGGGCTACTTCCTAACGATAAGGGCTAATTCCTAACAATAAGGCATTTTGGGCCAGCGCAACTTGTCATACAGGTTTGACTATAAACTCAATCCATAACAATATTTAAATATCTATTTAAAATTTAGTTGAGAAATTATGATTCATAAGATAACAGAATATAGTATTTTATGTCTCATTCTCTTCTTTATTTCTTGTTTTTGCATAAAAATTAGACATACTTAAGGGTGGATCCTTCTTTTATTAAGGAAGCTTATGTATATTTGGCAAATAATTCAAATACTCCTCAACCTTACTCCTTTAACTTCTCTCTTATTTGGAAATAGAAGTTATTCATCCCTCAATTTTATGGACCAAAATTTCTCTTATTTTGTAAGCCTAAAATCTTAGCCAATTGTTAAGTTTAAGCCTAAAGTTTAGTCATTTTTTAAGTCTAAGTGTACAATTTTGTCATTCATTAAGTCTATGCCTAAAACTTGGTCATTTGTTATTTAGGAATGAGATATTAAGTGCAATGTTTGTAGTTATGCATCAAGTGCATTATGCATTGTTTTGAAATTTGGTTGTGAATTTGATCAAGGAAATCTCTATGGTCATCAAACTTGACTTGGGAATTTTCTTAATTTGGGAGCTACTTATCAAAATGTTGAGAATGGAGAAACCTTGACAAATTTTTAGGGAATACATACATTTGAACATAATAAAATAAGAAATTGGAAGATTTCATAGAAATTGTCCATTTGAAAATTTTTCAAATTGTTGATAATGAGTACCCTAATGAAAGTTTGAAATCATGACGAATTTCCAGTAAATCTTCATCTTAGTTAAGAATGACTTGATCAAATACCCATTGTACAATAATCCATTGATTGACATATACTCCTAATCTACCTTAAAATATAAGAAATTGAGTTTAATGATATTACATACATCTTAAAATAAAAATATAAAAGTTATAATTTATGAGGTGTATTTAAGTGTTAAATTCTATTTGCATTTGCATATATTTTCTGGTCTATTTATATAGGTATTAAGAACATGATGTAAGGTATATTTGTACTCCTTTATTTTGTTGAATTATTTTTTTTATTTTTTCGTCAAACACCGTTTACCGGTGAAGTGCAGCTAAATATATAGATAATGTTGAAAGCAGCCAAATATAGATGATGTTGGAAGCAAAACTTAATTAAGCTTCATGATTGTTTTCTTTTATGAGTTTTAGTTCCAATAGATATAACATTCAAGACTTTGAAATAATATTTGTAATTCTTAGTTGTTTAGTTTTAGTCTTGTCATTTTAATTATTACATTATTGTAAATTTTATAATAACTTCGTGAAGGCCTTTAGGACGCTTGAATTATCTTTTTGAAAAACATATTTTACTTATACTTTATATGAGCCAAGTATAATTTGATCCTTTTTCAAAGGATAATATTGTTTTTATGTTTATGTTTATGTTTCAGATTGCACATATTTTAATTAATAATTAAATAAAATCAAGTATAATATGATCGTTTATGAAATAATAAAATTGTTTATGTACAAAAATAAAAACATACTGACAGGCATCATGAACCTTACAACATATAACCTAAACCTCAACCAACAAAAACAAGACCTTTCAAGAAAGAGATCAAAGAAATAAGTACTTCATCTTATGATTTTTTAAATCCTCCCACGAGGCACTACTTGTAAGTTGTAGCCTATATATATCATTCATGATTTAAGAAAATTACTGCATGCTATAAGAATCTTAGAATTTATGATTCTCACATATATTTATAATAGTAAGAAAGACTTACCTTGATCCATGACAACCGTAATGAGAATAAGTTCTTCAATCACATTTCTTCGATCTATCTCTTTCCATACTTCATATTCTCACATCACTTTCTTTGATGGTAAAATAATGAGAGTTGTTTCATATGGCAGAGATAGAACTCAAATAGTTCCTCTTATTCAACCAACTTCCATCAAGTTAGTTATCGGCAGTTATAAATTTTGAAAATAATCCATATTTGTCAATAAGTCCTTTTATTTTATTAAATCACGTTTAAGTTCTTAATTCACATGAGTCATATTATAGTGTTATTTAATATTTTATAACATTCTCTCACTTGACTCATGTGATGTCATAACACTTCATGATTTAATAATTACATAAATCATAATGTGCATTAAACACCTTAGATAAATTGGCTCCACCATTAATCATAATTAAAGATACATATAAGTAATAAGGGTCATGGTGGTTACATGTCATTTAATCAAAACATTTCCTTCCATGTACTACTATATTATCCTTCTCCTTAATATGACTGTAAAATGAGAAGTTCATAATGGGTTCAAACATAAAGTCACTCTTTCATTATTAATAAACACATAATATGTTTTCTACATCATAATTTGCATGCATATACATAAAGTAGAAAACACAAATTTCATAAACTTGTATATATTAAATTAGCTCAGAGTGTCAAATAGGCATTAATAACAACATTAACATTCAACATTCACTAGTAGACATAATGCCCATATTCTTTACATGGCCATTAAATACTTTGGTTTGTTAAAGGGTCGGCAATCATAAGATTAGTGCTAATATTTCTATTGACACTCTTTATTTTTGAACTTCTTCTTTAACTGCAAAATATTTCAATTCCATATGCTTAGCACCTTTGGAATACTTGTCATTTTTAGAAAGAAAAAAAATAGTTGCAGAATTACCACAATAAATTTTCAGCGGCCTGACAATACTATCAACTACTCCAAGTCCTGAAATAAAATTTTGCAACCAATTAGCCTGAACTGTGGCCTCAAAACATTATTAATGTTTATTGTTAAAATAAGTCATATTAATAATTAAATCACTATTATTTTATTGATATAAAAAAATTTAATTTAAAATATTAATTATTTTAGAACTAAGATAAATTTTTAAAAAAATGAATTTTACGCTTAAATTTTTTTACTATTTACTATCAGATATAAATATAAATATTTTAATAATTTCTTTTTCAATTTCACGCTTTCGCGCTTTCGTTATAACTTTATAAGTTCTAAATTCTCGATTTTTAATAACATCCTTTCACTTTCAATGACTCTTAGCTCAATATAAGAACTATTGTAATTTGTAAACAATACTATTTTTTTTCCTCCTCAAACTCTAAGATGCTACAAACTCTAAGATGCTACTTGAGACTCTTAATAAAATATCCTTACAAGTCAGCTTTTTCTTTCTCCACTATTATTACCATGTTCATAAATGTCTAATTTTAGATTTTCTTCGAGTTCTAAGTTCTCGATTTTTAATGACACCCTTTCACTCTTAATAACTCTTAACTCAATATACAAACTACTCTAAACAATACTTTTTTCCCCTCAAACTTTAAGATGTTACCTTTAACTTTAAATACTACCTTTTAAAAACAAGAAGTCCTTGATTTTCTTTGCCGAAAATGAAAACAAAATAAAGAGAAAAAAATAATTAAATACTTCTAAAACTTCGATGTCTAAGTTAGAATAACAAAGTTTTAAATATAAATTTAATTTTTACCCTAAAAAATAACAATATTTTAAAATAATGAATATTTAAAATTTAAAAAAATAATATGGAATAACATTATCTTAAAATAATGGATTTTTAAATTAAAAAAAAATCATTTGAATGCTGAAGTGGCTTATTTTAAAAGTAAAAATTAATAGTGTTTAAAAAATAATTAAAAATAAATATTATATTAGGATTAAAATAATATTTTTTTTTAGGTTAAAACTAAATAAAATAAAATTTTAAAGGAGCAAAATCATATTTAACTATCGGAATCTAATTCTTCAAAAACTATTTTTTGACAAGAATTGAAAAATTACCTAATCTCTGAATACTATTTTCTTTCCAAAAATAGAGATCAGCTACGTGAATCGATATCATCTCCTCAATAAATTGATTAATTTCTTTTTTTGAATTCCAAAAAAAATCATTATCTCGTAACTAAAAGGAACTAAACAAAATTATTTGTGTATTCCGTGAGAATGAGACAATTCATATTGATAAGGCCCAGCTTTCCTGGAAATAGGCCCTGTTTAAGTTGGTTGTCGACCCATACAGCTGGAAACGTCAATTCCAGATACAGAATCACTTGCACTTTTTCTCCCTAAATCACATGTATCCCTTTTAACTCATCTATACTCCATAATCCAATCCAAAATCTCATGCACATCCACAGCAATCTTACTTAAGAAGAATTAAAATAAAGAATCAATTTCCAATCAAGAATGATTACTCTATATCTTTTCATGAAAAGAATAATTGATACCCACAAAGGTAAAAAAAAAAAAAATACCATAACTACTTTTCTCAATTTGTAAAGACATGACTCAACATGGGACCAAAAAATATAATAAGAGTAAAAGTATCATTTCTATCCATGGTATCACAAATACAAACACACCCTATCCTGATATAATCTAAATTTGAGAAAGGAGGATTTACTGCCACAACATGTCAACATCCAAAACGTGCTATATAGAAAAATACAATACGCTAAATGCAAAGTCTTGTATCCCAGATTAAAAGAAACCATTTGGTATTAAGGGAAGGAGAAGTGTGAATTAATTAATTAAGGGGCTCATTTGGTATTGAGTTTATCTTTGGCAGTGAGTTGTGCCTGAGAGGAAAGTGCAGCACCAGAGAGAGTGGGTGCTTCAGTGGCTCCAGCTCCACGACCTGTCTTTGGTTCTTGGTGACCTTGGGTGCCATAACCTTGATGCTTGTAATCCTCCAAGTCCTTGTAATTCATGTAGGGACTGTCCTTCATTGGAAGCCCCTCAGTGCTTTCTTTACCTGACTCCTTTGACATTTGCTTCTCCATCTTTCTCTCTCGCTTCTTCTTCTCTACACTTTGAAACATGCTTTATATAGGACACTAGTATTTTCTAGCTGCTACGCCACTTGGCTGAGTGTAACACACGTGGCGATCCAACACAAATTATAGGGAAACGTGGCACCTTTAGGAGGTCTTTCACATTTACATCCACAAGATATCATCATTCAACCAGGGGAGTTTCCACATACTTCTCAGCTCCACGTATTGTTTGGAGTTTCTTTTATCATAATTTGTAAGTTCATGCACTGCTTATAAATTTTCTCTTTTATCACTCTTTATTAGGGGATGGCAATGACACGTGGGAACGGAGTAGGAGGGTACCTTTCCTATTAAAAATTTGTCTCATGTCTATTCTATATATGCGAGAGCATATACTAGTAAATTTTATAAAAAATTTGTGAATAATTTTGGATATTTATAAATTTTAAAAATTAAGAAAAATATTATAAATAATTTTAAATTTATATTTAATATTAATTATATTAAAATATTATATATAAGTAATTGACATTAATTTTTTTGTTATTTTAGTACTTAGTAATCTTTAGTACCCGTTCAGGGTGGAAGGAGAGAGACTGGTCATGATTTTTTTATTTTTTAAATATATCAAAATTATTTTAAAAATATTTTTTTCTTTTTAAAATTTATAAAAAATATTATAAATTGATAGATTAAAATTTTCATATTAATTTAAATTTATAAATATATATATATAT